ATCCAACTCAATCTCACCATTTCATCAATCTTGGTCAATGTTGATGATTTACACGCTAATTCATTATCCAATCTTGTCTGACATTATTATTGGCTTTAATCACGTTTGGTTTATACAACTGCCATGATTTGTACTACCATTATCATCGTGTATCTGAACACCAAGTATTCCAATACATCAATAATACCACAGTGTAAACAGTAATACAGTTGATCAGTCTTGTGGCAAGACTTTTCATTCAAGTTTGTATTTGGAAATACTCGATACTGAGCAAATGATCGATTATGTTGTACAAACGGGTTATTAGCAGTGAATGAGTAATCAACCAGACTGTTTACAATGTAATCAGACTAAATACATACAATACTGTCAATCTATGCAAGAAACATGTATCAACCAAAATAACAGACATTTCTAAAACCAACCCGTGATAAAGGACGGATTGGGCTGTCATATATATGGTTGCATATCTACCAAACAGATCCAGGCCGTACCATTATGCATGATATCACCCTGTTGTGGTTCAGTTATATCCACAACATTGTGTCTAGTACACATCCAACCCTCAACGCGCCAGAATAAAATCGAAACCACTTGCCAATAGATTCATGGCATTGTACTAGCGTATACGCTTGGTCTGATGGTGACTAGTTGTATGCCAAACATGAGAGCATCCGGCAGTCAGCCCTAGATGTTGTACACATTTGGTGAATACAAGTACAGTTGGATGTCACGGATAGCAACAATCGACATGACAGTGGACACTATTGGACATGTACACTGCAATGTGACTGTCAGCAACCATCACCATCAGTGTGTATCATGTGTTTAAAAAGTACTCGCATGCATTGGATTCAACACCACGTTTGTGATTGGGTTTGATTTGTATTGTATTGGTGGTGTTGTTTTGCATATATCAGTAGATTGTGTGCTGATTTGAATGACATGATCATCCATTGTGGTTCATGTACACGATGACAATCTGACCTGTTGACACGGCCAGTTTGTTGAACGACCTGCCAATCTCCAATTCAATTATAGTACAACATCACTCATTTGGTGTATCAACGACAGCTTGCCGAGTTTGATGTTGATCATGTTGTGGCACGATCAGCAATGTTTGATGTGTACAGTCTACATTAATCTAAAATGACCATGCAGTCATACCAATGGAAAAGTCATGGTTTTGAAATACTGCAATAACAGGTTGTTTGATGCTGTTGTGTCCGAGTGATCCAAAACATGACCAATTGAACAATCAGTCAAATATTTGGTATACAGTGACAGTATATGCTGTGATAATGTATTGTATATGTGATGATAACTATTCATAATCAAGTGGAAATCTGACAATACCTGATCACTGGATACATGACCGCAATCGAAGAGATCAACGCAGAATACTACTGAGGTTGATTATACACCAACAGCGATGCTTGTATATTGATTCGACCTACGGTGTGTTTCTGGGTTTGTTGACCCTACATGGTGTATTTGGCTTTTTCTGATCAGATTTGAAAGGTGCCGATTGTCACCCTTGAAGTTGCCGTCGTTATAAAACGGCAGTCATGTATCAGATTCAACCCATTTTCATCACACTACTCGGTACAATGTTGATTACTCTAGAATGCGTTCTACTTGCGTTACAAGCGGTTGCTGCAGTTCGACTTGCATTACATCCACCAGTTGGAATTGTCAGTCAATCGAACAATAGGCTGTCAAAACGATCATCCGTTGTGTTGGGTGGTGATATCACAAAATGCTACACAATGAAAGTCAATGTTCATGGAATCAATGTATGTATCATGTCATGCATTGTAGTTTGATATCAATTTGTACCACGTTGAATCAATCTCACACTTGTTTAAAATAGTTGGATTTACGAGTTGATTCATCAGTTTTTGATATAGTGGTACCACTTCCTAGCTCAAGCAACAATGTAGGTTCGACTCCAGAAAGTATTTCAAGTGGGAAGCCCGTTACTATAAGGTACAAAAGCAGAAAGTATAAAGGGTTTAGTTTCGACACCGATGTGACGATTCCGGGTACTAGGATAACTGGAATCAATTTACCAGTAATAGCAGTTAAAAAACAATCGGCAAGTCTGGTTGGTATTGGTGGAAACCCCGATCAAGGAGTATTTGGAATTGGCTACTCCTCGTTGTCAGATCATCATTCACGAGTCACTGCGATAGATGCTTTGTACAATGGTGGTGTCATTCCCAATAACGAGATTGGTCTTCAACTATGTCCGTATAAAATGCTTTCAAAAAGCTCCATCAATATAGGAAATATGGATGTAACTCCAAAATGTGGAACGGATGGAAAAAGTGTTGCATGGGTAGACTCACCAACAAACGATCAGTTTACTGTCAATATCAAGAGTATACTAGTCAATGGCGAAAAAGTGGATCTACCCAAGGAATTTCAAAAGCATATATTAAAGAATGGTCATACTTTGTACTCATATCTACAAACATGCTTTGTATATATGTATTTTCCTAGAGTAGTCGTGGAAACGCTGGTTGCTGCTATTGTTGGTAGTGATGCGATCACTGTCAAAAAGACTAAATCCAAACACAAGCACAAGCTCAGCAAAACAGAAATTAAAAAAATATTTTGGGAAAACCGTCTAATCCTCAAATCCAAACTTAGTATCAATTGGGACAGGATGCCAACGATTTCAATTACAATGTTTGCTGAAAACCCCGTGACTGATGACAATCGCAACTCCGTTGTAACAATCAAACTGGGTCCTCGAGACTATCTACAAAGAGTCAATTCCAAAGAATGTAAATATTTGACAATTGTATGCAATATGTGTTGTTTGATTAACCTGACTAATATACATGTTGGATTATAGTTAGATTTATTGTAGAAGCTGGTCCAAATGAAAATGCAGCTCTTGGTATACCATTTATGAACCGACTTAGATTGGTATTTGATCGACAAAATAAACGCATTGGGCTTGGTCCTGGATGTGGATGCGAAGCCGTGACTGATGGATATCCTACTATTTCGAATGCTGATCAGGTGCTCTGGCCATTACCACAGTAAGTTGTTTGATATTGGTGTGTGGATGTGTCGATTGATATACTGATCATGAATTTGATGCATATTGTTAGATTGCCTAAACAACCAAGCGGTTCAAGTTCAGGTGACACATCTACTCTCAGGAGATCATTTTCGCGATTTGGTAGTACTCTCCGTGATAGTATTCGTCGTAGTAGTAGGCGGTCAAAGCCTAATTACGAGAAACTTGATGGCTAAGCAGATATATCAATAAAACTGGTTATTTGTGTTAAAGATTTTTGATTATCGCGCAAGAAGTATAGAGATAGAAAATATAGAAAGAGACTGAGTCTTTCAATTAGTAAAGTATAAGGTAATAATATATAATCTGCCGCTGTAGAAAAGATCGGTCAGAAGAGATCTTGAATGATAATCAGGAAGTAGTCACGCAAATGAAAGTCAACAGAATAAGAGTTAAACTTAATAGATAATAACGGAATTATGTCAGATGATATTTAGATGATATTTAGAGGATATTCAGAGGATGGTTTATTTAGTAAGAAAGTATCTTGGCTTTTATAGTAATTTAGTTAAGGGAGTGAGTGGAGAAAGTGGAGATATAATATCTCCACTTTAAGCTTTGCTTGTAAAGCGGCAATGTTTGATTGCTTCAACAAAGGTCTGATTTCTTTAACACCCCTCCTCGCCTTGAACGGCTCTCAGTCCAAGTAGATCTGAGAATTGGGCAAAGGCGATCCTTGGAAGACCTTTTGTCATGATGTCCGCGATCTGATCTTGAGTTCTAATATACATGACTAGTATATTCTTTTGCGAGACTTGGTCGCGTAGGAATTTAAGCTTGACGTCCATATGCTTAGTTGTAGCATGATTGGGTGCTTGATTTTCCGTGTTTGCAATTGCTGATTGTGAATCGGAGTAGAGTACCGTGGCTTTTGCTTGGCTGAATCCGAGTTCATTAAGCATGTTGCGTTTCTTGAGTGAATCCGAGTTCATTAAGCATGTTGCGTAGAAATAATAATTCTTGAGTGGCAGTGACAGCGGCTGCATATTCAGCTTCCATAGTTGAGATAGCTACAGAAGTCTGTTTAGTAGATCTCCATGATATACAGCTATTGCCTAGAAAGCAAGTGTATCCGGAGGTGCTTTTCCGAGAGTCTACATCTCCTGCCCAGTCTGCGTCACAGTATCCTACCAGAGTGGTGTTATCCCCTCCTAGCGTAAGAGAATAATTAAGTGAGTATTTTACGTATCTTAGTATACGTTTAACAGCAGTCCAATGTGTATCGTTTGGATGGTGCATAAATCTGGAAACTTGACCGATGGCAGCGCCGAGATCTGGTCGAGTAGCAACCATTGCGTACATCAAAGCTCCAACTGCTTCGCGATAAGGAGCGTCGGTAACTGGTTCCGTTGGGAGAGATGCAGTCAAATTGGTGCCAGATTCTATTGGTGTTGCAACTGGTTTGCAGTCCAACATGTAAAATCTTTTGAGAACATCTTTTAGATAGTGTTCTTCTTGACTTGTATTGGTTGGTAAATTCTCAACCATTCTTTGTTCCACCGCAGCTTGAATGCTCGGCTCAGACGCGTCAGCAGTCTCTGATATCGCTCCTGGATATTCAACTGTGACCGTCGATTTTATGGGAGCAGCCATCGTGGCTCTGTCCCTGTTCATAACGTCAACTGGACGTTCCTGAACTTCTTTCCTCGAACCTTGAGACTTCGATCTCGATTTACGGTTCGGTTTCCTATAACCGGCCAGACTCGACTTATTTAGCGATGTCTTTATAGCCTTATTTTTGCTGATGGCACGCCCTAATAACCCCTCCTGAGTTATGCGTCCATGGCTTGTTTTAATATTGGTCCCGCGATCTGCTACAGTCATTCTTGCTGTATTTCTTGCAGTCTGTACTACTATTGGTACTTGTCGCCGACCTGATTTTGATTCCCCTCCAGTTAGCGTACTCGCGCGATATGGAATTTCTGGTGTTTCTGGACTTACCACATTATCTATCACAATAGGTACAGACGGTGTAATACCACCGCCTAGATTGTAGCTATGAGTAAATAATGGTGCCCTTGATTCTGTTTCTTTATCTGCTGCGATCTTCCAGAGATTTGCATCCGGGGCAGTCATGGCTTGTTTCCAATTCGATGGAAATGTTGAGTTAGATATATTGGCAGAAACGAGACTTGAGTTCATGTAATCAACGTCTGGTTGCCTTTTGTAATAATAATATGGTCCCTGAGTTTTACTTTTAAGTGGTGTGTCTTCCACTTCGGAATCGGGTTGAGATAGTTCCTGAATCCGGGGACTTGAAGCGTTGATTGCTTCATTAGAAATAAATTGCGTAGACTCTGCAACGAC